AAACATCCACGACGGGTGTTCTAAAGGCTACTGAAAATTTGGGCGCCATTGCACGACGTTCCAGAGAGGTGTCCTAAAAACGCCTTTGGAGACTCGCATCGACTCCCCCCCCCCCCCCCCCCTCCTATCAGGGTGAGAGCCAACAGTCTACGACAGACCACTGCGTCACCTTCACTTACTGAACTCTCCATAGACATATCGGGTACGCGGAATGGGATGATGGATCAGAGTCCCCGACCGTGGCTGCCCCGCCTGAGTTGGGCGCGCAGTGGTGGGCACGGCGACGGTGGAATGACCAGACCCAGTTGCCTATATGGTTTCTAAAGGCGTCTCACTATCCATGGCTGAGGTTTCTGTATCATCTAGCTATCCATGGCTGAGGTTTCTGTATCATCTAGCTCAATATCCCCACTGGCTCACTTGTCCAACGCCAAAGGAACGCTTTCTCTGGTTAGAAGAGCCAAAGATTAAGATCCCTCTGCAAAGGGATCGCGTGAGGGACGCTTTGCACAAACTTCGATCAAACGTGAGCCTCTGAGAGAAATACAAATCTAGTTTGCTAAGCCACCACGAAAAACACTCTCTGGTAATCGATTAACTTCTCCACAGCACCACATGATTCTTAGAAAGAGCGGTGTGCTGTAATGACTGCCCTTCCTTCGGGTTTGAAAAACTTGTGCGAGTGCTGGACAAACACGGAATTCCGAGTAGCGCTGTCACCAGCGCAGAACAAACAACTGCATCTTATCTTGGTGCAGGCCTTTAATGCGCAAGGGTGCTGCACGGCGGAGATTTCCAGGCATAATTCGTCGAAAGGGCTGGAAAGGGTCAGACCCAAGGCGAGCAGAGCCGCGGGTCGGGTTTGCTACGTGGTAGAAGGATATCTCCTACACAAAGTGGTCGCGGGGTGGAGACAGGTCAGGACAAGATCCCGCCCGGTTCCACAAAGAGCGCTGAATCCCTACACAGAATCAAGTTTACTTGACTGCATCTGTCTATAAGCTCTGCTAATCCGTGTCAGTCTTGACGATCTGCATCGCAACAGCGCATGGCAATGCTTGGTCAGCGCCTCAGTGTGCACAAGCCTGGACTAGCTCGCACTTAACGATGCGATGTTAGGCATAGCGATGCGATGTCGCCCACGAGTTGGACCACAACGCCCCTGAAGAAACGTCGCCCCACACCGGTGACGCCCCACAAGGCGAGCGCCTGAGTGCAGTGACAGAGAGCAGCGCTCAAACCGGTTTTAGCTGCTTGCGGCGCTCGGCACTGAGCACTGATGACGTCAGTGGGTGCTGCGCCTGGGTTTTTTCGGAGGAGAGCGTGCCTCCCAGCGGGACCCAGCCCAGTCAGTCGCGATTCGGCGGGGCTGAGTAGCGGCCGCAAGATGCTGTTCGCTTCAATCGCCGCCACCGCGGTGATGCTGGCGCTAGTCCAGGGACAGGCTATCGATTTCAGCTTTGCGGGTACCTGTGCGAGTCGGGACTTTGGTTTTGGAACGTGCGTGACACCTGACAAGTGCCGACAAGCCAACGCGGAGCGGACGCGGAACTGCGACGGACAGGTTTGCTGCCCCCGCAACCAGCTGATTCTGACAACCACCGCGGCCCCGGACGCGTCGGAGACTTTCCAGCAGCTGGTGCAAGAATGCGGCCGAGTGCAGCCCGGCGGGGTCATCTTCAGCAGGTCCATCCGCAGCGTTCGGCGGATGCAACCGGTCATAGAAGCTGCGCCAGATTTCCCCATCATGCCAGTGGTCGGCGGTGTGCCAGCCACTCCGAGCAAGTGGCCGTGGATGGCGCTGCTCGGCGAGCGGAAGGAAGGCGAAACGCGCTGGACCTGTGGCGGCACGCTCATCGCCCCCAGCACGGTGCTGACGGCGGCGCACTGCGTCAACGGCCGACAGCCGCCCCAGCTGGTCGTGCGGCTGGGCGAGTACAACATCTCGCACACCCGAGACGGCCGCCACCAGGACCTCGGCGTGTCCCGTGTCGTGCTCCACCCCCTACCGGCGCTCGCAGAATGATGTGGCGCTGCTGCTGCTGTCCCGGCCGGCGGCGCTGGGCGCGCGCGTGCAGCCCGCCTGCCTGCCGCCGCCCGACGCCGACCACACGGGTCAGGAGGCCGACCTGGCCGGCTGGGGCCGGGTCCAGTTCGCCGGCAGCGTGCCAGAGGCGCTGCAGGAGGTGCGTCTGCAGGTGGTGGACCCGGCGCAGTGCGAGCGCAACTACCGCGAGGCGCCGTCTTTCGATACCTTGTTCCCCGGCGGTTTCCAGGGCACCAAGGTATGCGCCAACGGCCGCGACGGCACGTCCAAGGACGCTTGTCAAGGCGACTCTGGCGGCCCTCTGGTGATCCAGGGCGCCGACGATCGTTACCAGGTGATCGGTGTCGTCTCCACCGGCCTGGGCTGCGGAAACCCAAAGTATCCGGGCATCTACACCAAGGTGTCCAAGTACATCCCCTGGATCGTGGACAACAGCCAGCGGCAGTGACTCTAATAACTCCAGTAGGACCACAGCTTTGCTGGTGGCTCTCCAATCGAGCACGTTTCTGATCGAAATGCGATGTCTTAACATGTATTAAGGCAACCGCGAAATAATATATATAATATGTATGATATTGTTGTCGTTGAGACTTTGCGACGCACTCGACGACGCACTTTGCTGAGGTTATATGGCGTGCGCCCGCCTCTCACCCTGGCAGGAAGGGCGGGCACCGCGGGGAATCGAACCGCGCACCTCTGGCTCCCCAGACGTGCAGTGGTTAACGCAGACGCGTTATCCAATACGTTACCGGCATCCTATCTGAATGATGTTATGACCTGTGCGACAACTGCGTGGACTGTCTCTGGATGATATAAGATGAGATGCGTAGTGCGGTAATTGGTTCATATATGTAATAAGCGATGCGCTCGCTGTTCATCGCGTTGGTGTGCATGGTTTCACCCGTTTAGCTATTTCGATGACCTCAAGTATTTCTGTTTGATGACAAGTGCTGCCTTATCTACCTGTAAGCGCTTGCATGGAGATGAAAATACGTTGGTTGCATGGAACCTTGCGACTGAAGAGTTGAAGTATTTTGGACGCGGGGATGTGTTGTTACAAAATACAGCTCGCTGCACAACTAATTGTGCGAAACATGAGCGGTTTAGTAAAAGCCCATGCGTCCCGCATACAGCAAGTAATCACAGCGTAGCATATGGCAGTGAGTCATGACTATGACTACTGGTTTGATTAATGACTAGGCGGCATGGCATATGTCAGGGGTGCGGTAGGCAGGCTGGCGGACCATGGTCGGCAACTTTGTATACACAGGAACTGGGCCTACCGAAAATAAATCATCGGCTTTGGGTTGAACATGTTGGAAGTTGCGGCATGCTCTCCAGATTATTTCGGCATGTTTCTCTTCCGAAGAGGGTCCAATTGCAACCCTCCGGAATGCCTGCATGAACGTAATAACCCAATGTGTGTTTTCTCAGCAAACATGTCCAGCAGTACTCTAAACTGCACTGTAACTTTAACTAAACTCAGCTGATCGGTAGATCGGCAATGCCAGACCATAGTTGCAATGCTAGGAGATTTGCATGGGCCGCGGAATGTTCCTACCTTAACTTCGCTAGGTGTTATGTGATCATATTACGTTTGCCAGCCCAAGTTATTGCTCAACAAGTTTGAGTATCTTGAGATTTCCGTATTCTGCTCAGTTTTTCAAACCCAGGATGTTTGGTTTATAACATCAAGCTTTTTTGACACGCCAAATTGAACTAAGCGGATGGCGCTCTACCTATTCATGAGCTTTGAAATGAGGTCGGGTCCTTGCACTGCTGAACTATATATGAACCAGTCACAATTACCCAGGCCAATGGCAGGAATCAACCTCTATCCCTCCTTTGAGACTTGAAAATGTGGCAATTGTCCATCTGATTACCATTCTATCTCACTGAAATTGTTTCTGTGCAAGCTTTTCAAAAAAATGGCCAGCAACAGACGTGTGTGGTTCCTGGAGCTGCTTGATCTGCTAGAGAATGAACAGAGCGGTTTGCTCCAAGACGGAAGCCTAATTAATCGCCCGGTACTTTAAGACGTAGATATTGGTAGAGCCTTCAATCGCAGACAACACACCCTCGGCATCTTCTTGGGCTTGGAAAAGGAGTACTAACTAGTTTTTATGCATGATTGTCTGTCTGGACTGTGTACATGTGGCATAAAGGGTTATGCCGGTTACTTCCTAGCTAACTTCTTGGGTGGCTGCTACTGTCGCTTCTGCATTGCTTCGTGTCTTTCAAACACGCAGACAAAGACACAGACACAGGCACAAACATGGGCACAGACACAGACACAGATACAGACACAGACACAGACACACAGGCACAGACACAGACAGACACGCAGGCGTCACTTGGTGACGGGATCGTCGTGAACGACATTAAGACGTCACTTGGTGACAGTACCATCGTCTAGGACGATGAGGCTTCACTTGGTTATAAGATCGTCGCTGACGGCAACTAGCGGTTGCTTGGTTAAAAGATCGTCATTGACGATGAATAGGCTTGCCTGGAACACAGGATCGTCGCTGACTACGAATGGACGTCAGTTGGTGAGGGGATCGTTGTTAACGACAGTGAGGCTTCACTGGTTGAAGGAATGGTCGCTGATGACAGATGAACGTCAGATGGTGACGGTATCTTCGCTGACGACGGATGAACGACATGTAGTGACGGAATCGCCGTGAACGGTGGAATGGTCGCTGATGACAGGTGAACGTCAGATGGTGACGGTATCTTCGCTGACGACGGATGAACGACATGTAGTGAAGGAATGGTCGCTGATGACAAATGAACGTCAGATGGTGATGGTATCTTTGCTGACGACGGATGAATGACATGTAGTGACGGAATCGCCGTGAACGGTGAATGGACGTCGGTTCAGAGACAGATACAGGCACAGACACAGGGAGACATAGAGATACACCCCCAAAGATACAGAAATACGCACACAGAGACAGGGACACACACACACACACACACACACACACACACACACACACACGCACGCACGCACACACACACACACACACACACACACACACACACACACACACACACACACACACACACACACACACACACACACACACACACACACACACACACACACAGCGGTACCTTGCAGGGTTGGTGACTGAGGAACTCCCTGGGAGCCGGAGCATGTTACCATAAATGAGCTTCGCACACGTGCAACCCAGGTCCTCTTTTATAGCTAAACACACTTCCAGCAAAACCAGTGGCAGGAGATCGGTCCAGCGAGTTACTGCGTCTGCCGCCCGTAGAGCTGTCTTCAGTTATCGGTGAAACCTTTCTACCATGCCGTTGCTCTGCGGCTGGTAGCTAGTGGTGCGATGCCTAGTGCAGCCAAGAAGTGCCGACAGGTGTCGCCAGAGACCGGGCTCAAACTGGGCGCCGCGGTTAGTTGCGACTTTTGAAGGCATTCCAAACCGAGCCACCCAGCCGGCGACGAATGAATAGGAGCGAAACACCTATCGTTGCCGACAGGTCGACGAAAAGAGATTGCAAATGTTATTCTGAAAGCGGTTGCCAAAACCTGCAATCGATGTCACCGACAGCGGAGCACCCCGCTGCGACCGCCACATACCTGAATGTTTTACCTAAACCAGACTGCCGGAAAAGCCAGCCCGTGCGCCGCCCCTCACACGGCGGGGCTGTGTCTGGTTGACTTGTCTGCTGACGAGACGCCAGCCGCGGCCTTATCAGTCAGATGTCGCCTGGTCGGGGGCGTCCCTGCCAGTGACATTAAATCCGGCTTGAGCATCGGTGTTTTGCAACGCCGGAGGAGGTCATGCAATAAGGGCGGGAGTGTGCGTCCAATGGCGTTATTCCATGCGCCAGTGGCATGCTATTTTCAATTTCGAAAGATCGCTCAACTCCATCATGTACTTTTGGGGCCTACTTAGCGCACTTCCTTTTCGGTTGCAGTTATTTCCAGCTCGTCTATGGCTAGCTGACTCCCCATCAGGTCCAACTTAATGAGACATCCCCGACTCCGAAGACGACATCTGCTTCCAGGCATCAAACTGTTCATGGATCGGCCTTGTCCGCTGAAGACGACATCTGCCTTCCAGGCATCAAAATGTCATGGATTGGCCTTTGTCCGTCGAAGACGACATCTGCTTCCAGGCATTAAACTGCTCATGAATCAGCCTTGTCCGTCATTGCGGCGGAACGAAATCTGTTCCAATCCATGGCCGTTTGTTGACGGGCGTTCCCCTCAAAATGGACCAAAGTGATTTATAACTTATATTAGTTGATGTATATTATCAGACATTTGAAAGCTGATGTATATTTCACGTATCGGTTGTCACTTTTTTTTAGTATCGTGATTAATTGTGTGAACCACGCCTTTCTTTGCTTACGGCTGCGCGGCTGCGATCTGGTGAGAGAAAATAATTGAGTTTTTTTTGTATGTGATGATGTCATGAATGCAGCTGATCTCTCCTGCGGTGTTAAGTAGATCTCCTAATCTGTGCTTTCTAATTGGGCTGCTCAACGCATATTATCATTGACTCTGGTTACTTTGACCCTACCAGTTTATCGTGAAGGACAAGGCGAAAGTGAAATCTATTTCTCGGCTCAAATTGTGGGTTTAAAACAATGGTTTCTTCGGCTAAAGGCGATAGAAGTACAAGCGGTACTCGGTTTCAGGTTAGTTCAGAAAAGTGATCATGCACTGAGTAGACATCCCTACCATAGTCTATTGATTTGTTATTTTCAGTCGCTATTAAAAAATGCCAAGCAGCCACAACAGCAGCTCTAAAAAAGTGACGCTGCCATCTACAAACTGGTTCTAAGAGTCACGAGGCAGGGGAGGGAGGCGCCTCGTCCTGTGACGGCACCGTATGGCACCCTCTCCTTGACATCAGATCATGCTGCAAACCATTTGGCGAGTGGAGCCTCTGCTTTGCCAGGGGAGCTGGCCTTTACCGAGCTGTAAGGCCTCCAATACCCTCTTACCTGCGGACACTTTCAATAGATTGGGCATGTTTGAATATTGCCTGAGCCTAACTAGCCTGTAAGCAGTTAATCGAATAGCGATAGGTATCTTAACAAGGTACTTGCGCAGCCTCTAAAAGAAAATATCTCGGTTTAGCCGGATGCCACGAAGTCTTACCCGCAACTGGGTACGACTTATGAGCGTGGGGTGGATGAGGGTAACATAAAGAGTGTTACGGAGAGTTGGTGTATTTATCTTTTGGCCCAAATCATCCAGCTATGAATTCTGTGCCCTTGGAGGATTATAAGCAAATGCTGTTGGAAACCAGGTTGCAAGACCAGCCAGGTCACTGTAGACGCTACAAAACGGTGGCATTGCTAACAAATGCAATCCAAATGGCATGATTGTTATTCGCAAGCAGGTATCACCGCAGTTCTTTTTCGGAATAGGAAGCAGCAGTCAGGTTTACTCTCTAAAATACAGTG